CAGGGCTTGCCTATGATGGTACTTGTGAGGCAGACAGTACTTCGGGCAGAGTGCCTCTCACCTTTTCCTGGATAGGACAGGCCTGTTTGTGACCCTGGAAGTATACACTGCTTAGGTTGGCATGTTTGCACTAGTCTGACTCCAGTTTCTTTGGCCCAAGAAGATACTAGACAGAATCCTAAGGCCTTTATTAGTCTTCACTGAGCCTTTCCTGGCTTCTCACTGCAAGACCCACCACAGCTATTCTCATCTTCTACCCCTGGGAATCTGACGGGCCTCTTGCAGCATCCGGCTTCTGTATCTGCCATCTCCGGAATGTGCTGAGCCTTCTAGAACCCTGCCTGCTTCCCACTGTGCCACATTCTGAGCCTGGCCTCCTCACCTTGCCTGACTGTGTTTCCAGAGGCCCCAGTCACTTCCTGTGGCTGCACCAGCACATGGGGTTCTGGCATTAGCTCACCAGGCTGTCCTTCCTGCCTCCCCTGCAGCCTCCAGAGTGACCTTCCTAAATGGGAAAGGGAGCACAGGCACCACCAATGTGACCTTCATTAGCAGGCTTCCCTGACACTCTGGCTGAAGATGGTGCATCTTTTTCTTTTCTTTTTATTGAATGTATTGGGGTGACACAGGTTAACAAAATTATATAGGTTGAAGATGCTCCAATTAATGTTAAAGCTTCTGAACAGAAAGGGCATGCAAGGAACCTTTTAAAATGGAATAAACAAAATGCTAACATATTCTCCATTTGAATTTCTAATCATGTGCTGTTACCAAAACTAGGTCTTACATGGAGACCTTAACAATAGAGGTGTTTTGTTTTGTTTTTAATCCTCACCCGAGGATATTTTTCTATTGATTTTTAGAGAGAGTGGAAGAGAGAGTGAAAGACAGAGAGAAATATCGATGTGAGAGAAACACATCAATTGGTTGCCTGTTGCATGAGCCCTGTCCAGGGCCCGGGCTGGGGAGGAGCATGCAACCGAAGTACGTGCCCTTGACCGGAATCGAACCTGGGACCCTTCAGTCCGCAGGCCGACGCTCTATCCACTGACCCAAACAGGCTAGGGCAGCAGTAGAGGTTTTGAGTGTGTTAGAAGCTTATTTAAAAACTAGAGGCCTGGTGCACTAAATTTGTGCACTGGAGGGGGTGTCCCTCAACCCAGCCTGCACCCTCTCCAATCTGGGACCCCTTGGGGGATGTCCAACTGCCAGTTTATGCCCTATCCCTGTGGGCCTAAACTGGCACTTGGACATCCCCCTCACAATCAGGGACTGCTGGCTCCCAACCACTCGCCTGCCTGATTGCCCCTAACCGCTTCTGCCTGCCAGCCTAATCACCCCCTAACCACTCCCCTGCCAGCCTGATCAACGCCTAACTGCTCCCCTGCTGGCCTGATCGCCCCCAACTGCCCTCCCCTGCCAGCCTGGTCCCCCCCAACTGCCCTCCCCTGCCAGCCTGGTTGCAGCTAACTGCCCTCCCTTGCTGGCCTGGTCACCCCTAACTGCCTTCCCCTACAGGCCTGGTTGTCACTAACTGCCCTCCCCTGCCAGCCCGGTTGCCCCTAACTTCCCTCCCCTGCCGGCCTGGTCCCCCCTAACTGCCCTCCCCTGCCAGCCTGGTCACCCCTAACTGCACTCCCCTGCTGGCCTGGTTGCCCCCAACTGCCCTCCCCTGCTGGCCTGGTCGCCCCCAACTGCCCTCCCCTGCTAGCCCAGTCACCCCCAACTGCCCTGCCCTGCTGGCCTGATCGCCCACAACTGCCCTCCCCTGCCGGCCATATGTGACCACATGGGGGCGGCCATCTTGTGCAAGGGTGTGATGGTCAATTTGCATATTACTTCTTTATTATATAGGCTTGTGGGTTTGTGTGTGTGACTCCTTCTCAGCTGTACACTTTGAGAATCTACTGGTTAGCACCTGATATATGGTTAGTGCCTGGTAAATGTGGTCTGAACTGGTGAAGGTGATTGACACCCGTTCCTGATGAGGTTAAGTACAGGGGATGCAGAAGGGCCCCCTGATGAAGCTCAGGATATCAGCTGGAAAGGAGAATTAAGAAGATAAGAGGGCCCAGCAAGTGTGGCTCAGTAGTTGAGCATCAACCCATGCACCAAGAGGTCAGTTTGATTCCTGGTCAGAGCACATGCCCGGTTGCAGGCTCAATCCCCAGTAGGGGGTGTGCAAGAAGCAGCCCATTGATGTTTCTATCTCTCTCTCCCTTCTTCCTCTCCCTCTCTCTCTCTCTCTCTCAAAATCAATAAAAAAAAAAACATTTTAAAAAAGAAGATAGGAGATTATGAAGTTAAGGCAGCTACAGTGTTGAGGTCATGCACTCCAAGAGGTGGCAGAAAGCGGAACAGAATGATGGCTATGTCCCTTGGTGTTGGGGATCCGGGGTGTCTATACAAGGGGCTACTGGAAGGGACAATCAGAGGAGGGAGCAAGGGCCCATGTTGGTGTGAGCCCTCATCCCATCAGGACTCTGAAGGCTAAACTGTTCTTGGTTTTATTCCCAGGCCTGGTGAGTAATGTGGTGTTCACCAGTCATACCACGGAGCAGAGGCACCCTCTCCTCGTTCAGCTGCAGAGCCTCATCAGGGCTGCCAATCCTACCACAGCCTTCATTCTTGCAGAAAATGGGATTGTCACCAGGTAAATTTATCCCGTTCCCTTCACCCCACAGACCAGGCATCTTCTCAGATCAGCAGCTCCCCTCTGGTAATGCACCACAGGGTCTCACTGTACCTGAGTCCTGAGCCATTACAGAAGTGCTGATGCTGCGTGAATCACCAAAAGGACACTATGTGTCAGAATCCTGTCCTGTTTTGAGATATTTTATTTTAATGCATTCACATTTTCATCCATTAAGGAATGGAAGTCAAGAATTTCTCAAGTTCCTGTGTTAACATGTAAGAAAAATTACATAGAGAACATAGAGAAATTATCTTTTTACTTCATGGACTTCGGTCCAAATTACAAACTAAAAATAGATCATTGGTGACTTTGTATGTGTGTGTACGAAAGCATCTGATTGTATAGCAATTTTGTTTGCTCAGTAAGGACACTAAAAGGTATATATTTTTTATATAATTTTGACTTTTTTAGAATATATTTTTATTGACTTCAGAGAGGAAGGAAGGAGAAAGGAATAGAAACATCAATGATGAGAGAGAATCATTGATTTGATCGGCTGCCTCCTGCATGCCCCCGACTGGGAATCAAACCCCCAACCTAGGCATATGCCCTGGCCAGGAATTAACTGTGACCTCCTGGTTCATAGATTGATGCTCAACCACTGAGCCACGCTGGCTGGGCTAGTTTTCACGTTTTAAAAATTGATTTAAGTAAGGGAGAGAGAGAAACATCGATTTGTTCTACTTATGCATTCATTGATTGATTCTTGTATGCGCCCTAATCTAGAGATTGAACCCTCAACCTTGGCATATCGGGACAATGCTCTAACCAACTGAGCTACCCAGCCAGGCTAGTTTTGACTTCTGAGCAATGCAAATATTTTACATATTCAAAAATTAAATGAAACCAACAAGGAGGGAAAAATCTAAATACAAACAAAAAAGTGAAACCATCTGCAATCACACACACACACACACACACACACAAAATAATTGTCGTAACTTTTGAACATAATCCTCCATTGGTATCCTGATTCCAAACAGCATCACTGAATAGAGAAGGGAGATTATAAATATGGCCCTAGCCAGTTTTCTCAGTGGTTGGAGCTTTGGCCTGTGGACTGAAAGGTCCCCGGTTCAATTCCAGTCAAGGGTACATACCTTGGTTGCAGGTTCGATCCCTGGCTGGGTCAGAGCATGTACGGGAGGCAACCAATTGATGTGTCTCTCTCACATCAATGTTTCTCTCTCTGTGTCCCTCTCCCTGCCTTCCACTCTGTCTAGAAATCTATGGGGGAGAAATATCCTCCGATAGGATTAATAATAAATATGAAATGGGAAAGGTGAGGGAAAACCCTGTAAATGTTGGATTTGAATTTTGGGGAACTCAGTGTAAATTTATTATTTTTATTTTTATTTATTTATTTTTTTCTGGCTCTCCCGAAGGAGGCCTCCACCCAGGTGCTTCCTGCACCTGAGGGAGCCGGGGCTGTGGGGCAGGAAGGTTGAAGAGAACCCAGGTGAATGCCAAACTTCGCTCTATCCTAACAAAGAACAATCCTCCTTTTCTATTGGTGGTAAAACACTTAATTACATACTACAGAGAGATGACTCTAGTCTCAAACGACTGCCGACACCTCATCTTACTAAACCTCAGTTTGCTCCTCTTAAAATGGAAATATTACCACTTGTGGCACAGTTGTAATGTGAGAAATTGCTTAGTTAGAATCAGAGCCGGAGACCAGAGCCTGCCCCCGCGCGGCCCGCGGTGCGGCGAGCCTACTAAATTTATTATTTTTAAAAAGGTATATTTACGAGCTCTTTCCATTGAAAGGGACCAGAAATACTAATGCCACAATAAACACCCTACCTCTAGATCTTGGTTTTTATGTACCAATCCACTGTCAGGTATCAGGACTCCTTGGAGAATTGGCTGATTGCAGGTCTAGGGCAGGTACATTTTATGCCAAAAAAGGAAAGATTTGTGTAGATATGTCAAAAGGATAGGGGAACTATCTTATGAAGCTGTCAGTAGCCAAATTTGGGACAACTTGAGTGTGAGAAAGAATAATGATAATAATGGGTTATAGCACATGGAATAAGGTGAGTCTATGTGATACTAAAAAAATGAAGAGGGGCAGGATATTAAAACTCTTTTAACAGGCAAATGCTAATAAATAAATAAGGATTTCTAGAACTAGAAAGTCAGCATCTTGTAACCTTTGGTATAATAACTTGGTTTAGGCAAAAATCAGTGGATGCTCAGTAGTTGACAGATTGTTGAGGAAAAGGATATTCACTAGTCTCAGAGTATCACTCCACAGACTACTTACTACTTACAAAGAGGGAAAGTACCTTCACAGTAAGAGGAGAGGGTCTTGTAGTCATGACATTGACCAAATGATTCAACTTAGCAAGGCCACTAATGGGACAAATTGGCTTCATGTGCCTACGTCCTGTGATGCTATGGGAAGGACACATCACCTGGTATTAATCTTGCCAAAAATGTTTACCTGAATCTAATCATGAGGAAACAACCAGACAAATCTAAGTCATGGGACACAAGACAACTGGCATATAGTCTTTAAAAAGATTAATGTCAAAGTCAGCCCTCGACACAAGGGTTTGTAAAAAAACAAAAACAAAAAATAAAAAAAAATAAAAAAAATAAAAAGATTAATGTCATGAGAAACAAACACACAAGAAAGTTGGAGGAATTGTTCCAGATTAAAGAAAAATAAAGATTGTAATTTTGATAGGTGATACTTGATTGAATCCTGGGTCTCCCTAACCCCTAGAAAGGGAAAATTTGAAAATGGATGTATACTAAATCAATACTTCTTCAGCTTTAATGTGCATATGAATCTCTTGAGGATTATTAAAATGAGGGTTCTGATTCAGTGGGTCTGGAATAGGGCCTGAGATTCTGCATTTCTAATGAGCTCCCAGGTGATACCAGTGCTGCTGGTCCACAGTATTAAATTCCTCGGGCGTGATAATCATATTGTGGTTCTGTAAGATAATGTCCTTGTCCTTAGGCGATGCATACTGAAATACTTAAGGGTGAAATAACAGAAAAAATGCATGCATTTGTTGCTTATGTGTGTGTGTGGGGGGGGGGGGGGGGGGGGGGGAGAAAGCAAATGTGCAGGTTAAGATTGATAGTCCTAATTAATCTGGGGGTTTTTTTCTGTATGTTTTCAAAGGAATGAAGACATTGAGCTGATTCTGTCAGAAAACAGTTTTTCAAGTCCTCAGATGCTACGATCTCGATACTTAATGTACCCTGGCTGGCAAGTATCATCATTGAAAAGTAGCTGAGATTTATTTGTAAATCCAATGATTTATTTGTTAACAGCAAAAGAGAGAGAGAATACCAGGTGTGCTATACGAGGGTGTCCATGGCAGCTGGAAGGACCTACCATGTCCCAGCAACAGCTGACTTTTCCAGGAGCCCAGTGCTCCCCATCTTGGGCTCCAAATTGGGAGCCTTACTGTATGTTGAGACTTAAGGAGACATCCTGTGGGCACCAGGCACAATAGTGTCCTGTGTTTCCTCTGGCCTCTAGTGAGGGTGAGGTGGCTGACACAGAACCAAGGAGTTGTAACCTTCCCAGGTGAGAGAGTCACTCCTGAGAATAGTCAGTCCTCTAGGGTTCCTTCCTGACAGCTAAGTTCCCTGCCGATGGTGCCCAGAAGATGTTTCTTCTCTCCTGGCAGCCTCCCAGCCTGTGACCTTCTCCTCCAGAGGGGAGAAGAGAAGGAAAGAGACTACAAGGTGCATTGTAATCATACTAATACCAGCAGCTCATGAGCACTTACACACATTGTTCTAAGTATGGTAACCACTAGCCACACTTGACTATTTAATAAAATGTAAATGAATAAAAATTTAGTCTTTCAGTCATACCATACTTGATTTGAATCACATCATACTTATACATAGGTAAGTGGGTCATCCCTTTTTCCTGAACAAGGCAGTTATATCTTAGATACAAAGAAAGAGATGGAGCTTCTGAGGTGAAACCCTCCTCTGGTGGCTGCAGATGCGGGCCCTTTTGCTGCCCACACCTATGGGCCTGGGCCTGAGACTTCTTCTTTCTGCACCTGGTGCCCAGGGAATCACCCTCTTCCAGTCCATGCTGACTCATTCTGGGCACGTGAACTGAGCTCCGGATGCACTTTCCTGGAGGCAGACTGATCCAGGAAAGAACTGGGTATGAGGACCTCATTAGAAGGTTCTGTGAGTCTGGAGTCTGAAACCTTCCCTTGATCAGGAAAATCAATGATTTTAGATAATCAGAGATGGAGGGGCCCTGAA